CCCCCCCCCCCCCCCCCCCCAGCGTAGGGTTAGTAAAAAATGATAAAAACCGACGATCCCTTAATTAGGCCTTACAGCAAAACTAATGACATATGATTGAACGGATTTTTTTATAAGGGGGGGGGGGGGTCAAAAGTCTTTAAAATGAATAAAATCCCCAAAACAACAGACCTACGCGTGCCCCACGTTGATCAGTGACCATAAAGATTTTCCTTCTTTCTTCTTCTTTTTTTGCTTGCTTATATTAATTAATTAATTTATTTATTTATAAAAATAACGAAATGTTGCATTTTGCAATTTGGAAACATACCATGATTTGTATATAACCAAATGTGAAGACCATTTTAAAGTCGTTCACCAGCTTTCCCAGGACTACTCGTTTCACATAACACAAAAATAGACCATTTTCAATCGTTTACTATAACAGGTGCCCCGCTGGAGGGTTGAAAACCTCCATGTCACCAGTTTCCATTAATTACAACAATTTACATGGGCTAACGGCGTTTAGAAGCATTTGTACAAAATACCAATACTCTCAGTGAATCGTCTGAACACTCTGAAACCACATGTGAGAAGATATATAGGTCTATGCATTCCCACGAGCAAAAACACGTGTCTTTTTAAAGACACTGCATTTTAAAATAGAAGTAGACGTATAAATTATTCCGTGGAAGTATGTCTAGCACGAGCTTTAGTTAACACTTAAAGAATTTGAACCATGATCGATGGCGTATGTTCGGAGTTGTCGGTTTTTGTTGAAAAGAATGGCCCTTCATTACAATCAGTTGCTCTTTCAGCCCTCACTCCTAGAACAAAGTCCATAAAATACTTGTTTCATGTAAGTCACTTAATTTGGTGACGTCACTGAACAATGGACACTTTAGTGTGGAAGCAAGGAGTTATAACTCCTTGGTGGAAGGCTGCCAAAAAGTTAGGGCATTTAATACATCTAAGGCTGTATTCCCAGAGATTTAGATCGATCCAGAGATTTAGATTTAGATCGACCTAACTCCCTGGGTGTTCACGCTAAATTGCAGTCAGCCGAGCGCGCACCATAGTTAATTACCCCCTTACAGCTTTCAGTAGGCGGGACAGACGCTTAAGCCTGCTAAGCTGACAGCAATCTAGTGAGACTCCCCACAGGGATAGATCGATCTAAAATCTATGGAAATGGGGTCTTAAGCTGGGCCATATATCTGTCTTATGGGCGCATTCGGGATGAAGAAAACCAAGATATGTACGGTTGTAGTTGCTCCGTGCCCGTATTGTTTTCACTGTACTTTCTGTCGTTACAAGCGAAGACAAAAAACAAACGAACAAGTGATGTCAAAACTCACCTATCATTTAGCCTCATTGATATTATACAATTACTGATTTGGACGAGGTCAGTGTGTTCTTTGGCTGACATAGAAAATGACCGAGGCGCAGACTTTTTCTGCCAGGAGGTCATGGGACAACACAACTTTCCGTTGACATAAGTCGTCACGCGTGTAAGGTTGATTGCGGCATCATAAAACAATGGGGCAGGGGTGACAAATTTAAAGGTAGACGTGACCTTTTTTTTATGACGTCAGGGAGGTTCACGAGAAGTTTTATCACACAGCAAATCTCCAGTTATGATATCGTATCATATGCCAATTACGTAATAAATATTGACCTATGCTTCTTTAGCATTCACCTACTGTATGTAACATTTTAACTAATGCTTTATAGGCCTAACACATGCACAATGCCATATGTCTAAGCTAAAAGAAAAAAACATGGTGTTACGTTAAGCATTTTGTTACAGATGTCGATTTGGAGTTATGCGACAGATAATGACAACAGTTCTCCATTTTGGAATCAAAATCACATAGATTTACGTATCAAAGCAGACGAAAAAAGAAATGTTGTGTGCTCAGTTACTTTTTTTTCAATGTTTTTTGGGCGTATAAATGTATATATGCTATTAAGCTAAGTACGAGGAAGTATTTATGCTCAGGTAAGAAGCCGTTAAAAACGTAACAACATGTTATAACAGTCGACTGTGAGTGTCACTACAGAAATTGGATGAAAAAGAACACCTTTTTGTCTCTTTCTGTAGTCGCATTGTTACATTTGTTCAAAGGATTTCGCATAAAATCTTACAATAGCATTTGTACCAATTTTATGGACTTTGAAATTAACACCCAACTTCTAAACGGTACCGCATTCTGTTCTCTTTATGTCGCCGCCATTTCGGAGAGATAAAATGGCGTATTTAGTAATGTTATATCAAACTCTTGGCTGAACCTTATTTCCGTTTTATCTGACTTTATCTGTTTGTATATGTTACTGTTGAAACCTCTGATCACGACGCGGAACAGCGTTGTCGTCTGCGCAAAAAACAATGGCGGCGGACTTGGCCAGAGCCCCATCTCTCCAAATCGTCTGCGCTCACAACTTGAAGAACGCGCGGTCAGCGGGGAAAAAATCCGAGGACAAGGTAAAGGAGGTCTCTGTCTGTATGAAAGGTAAGCACGGGGACTTCAACGGTGTCATAATCGACTGGGCTTTGCCCTAACACTCACAACGTTACGTGACAGAATGCATGCGTTCAATCGTCTGTCAGCCATGTGTGCCCCCCTCCCGCTCTTTGCGCAGTGCTTGGCCTACGTGTACCTGCTGCCTGTTTGACATTCAGATCGACAGCCTGTGACACGGAGCGTTGAACGCACCAACTCGAGTAAACGTTATTTCTTTTTAATTACCTTTTTTTACTGAAGCGTGTTGCATTCATCCGTATTTCATTATTATAGCGCCTTTAATCTCGCATTTTCATATTTATTCATTAAGCTTTGGATTAAAAAGGGGAAGACCGTTGCGTTTAGAGAGGGAGATTCGAGAACGCTTGCCTGCCGTTATCTCACGCGTGATCCCGCCCTCTCTCTCTATCCAGCCTTAACATCAAAGGGAATGGCGTCACGGACGTGTAGACAGAGGAGCCGGTCTTCAGACTCCTTTATTCCTTGTTTAGTTTTATTTTTCTGGGTTCTCTTGATCATCACCGAAAGCTAATTAAAAGTAACCATTGCGCATGCGTAGCAAAATGGAATCGGTATCAGAAGAAGCCGACTTCATGATTTAAATTAAAGTTATAAAACTCTTTCAAAATAACGGTATGTTTGACGTATGAAGTTTTTTTTCCTTTAATGCATAATTTTTTGTCGTATGGAATATGGGATTAGAAGTAGATTTTTTCACGTCTAAATATTTATCCTATGACCTCTCTAAAAATAGAAATAATAAACTACTATATGTACAACCTTGAACAATAACAGCAACAGGCCCTTGTCTCTAATTCAGGAAAAACAACTGTAGATAAATCAAAACAAAACAATTTCAAATTAACTCAAATTTTAACCTCATCTTTCAGTTAAGTACTTCACACTATCTTACAAAATACGGCTGGAGAAAGCAGTCAGAAGATAATGTGCAAGTGCTTTCTGGCTACTTGGTGACACTGAAACCCTTCAATGGAAAAACTTCTGAAGAACAACGAACAATTCGAAATTTGTATCGCCTTAATATTCCATGCGGCGCCGGTGAAGAATGAAAGACAGGGACATTAATACCTTCCCTTTTCACTCTTGTAATTACTTATGATCAAAATGAAAAGAAAGTCATTAAATCACACGATCCGTGGAAAATACGAAAAATTAATAAGGTAAAAAATCACTTTTTACAGCACTGACAAGAATGCTTTGAAGGCACAGCCCTCTACCAAGTATTATATCTTCATTGATATCTGCTAAATTTTTTAATAAATTAAATATTAAGAGGAGCTTACCTTTGGGTATATTAGAATGGTGTTCTTTTTCACTGGCGGTATATCGCCTTTCATTCAATGCGGACAAAAATGATTTAGATTGTATTTGTTTGATTAAATTTAATTTAACTACGTCAGTATCTCCCTTTTTATTCACAATCACTCGAGATGTTAGACTTTTTAAAATTATATAACAGCAAAATTTTTTTTACTATAGCCACTGTCTTCACTTATGTTATGTTATGTTATGTTATGTTATGTTATGTTTATTTATTTATTTATTTATTTATTTATTTATTTATTGATACACCAGACGAAAGTGAAAGACCAAAAAAAAAAAAAAAATCTACCAAATTGTCCGCCAGTTTCATGGTCGCATGGGTGTCACTACGTCTCCCCACCGTGAATGTGGTCTTTACGTAACACCGGAAGGCGTCGAGCACGGTGTCCAACCCGGCTGAAACTGAGAGCTGATATACGTGCCAGATAGAATCACAACTAGCCGTTTGAAATGTGAGCTCCAAGACAATTTGATCCTCTGAGCAAACAGACCCGCCTTGATAACTCACGCGCAAGCTCGTGGACTCGTGATAAATTCCATTCTTGAAACGTGTAAAAATCCTTTTGAAACCTGCGCTGGTGAATTGAGGGTCTATTCCATTCTTCCCCGATGTCTTTCCGTCTCTCTCTCTCTCTCTCTCTCTCAACAATGATAATTCTTACTGTCCATGTTGTTATGTTGTTTGCCATTCTTCATCTTCGTTTATGGACATTTTAAACTAAATGTTGTGCGCTGCTACTTTCTGAAATATATCGCTTACTTTGATATAAGCTGTTCTTGGATTATAAAAAAACCTCTGAAATGCGAGAAAGTTAACTTTAATTTGTTCGTGTCAATCCGTTGAAAAAACAAGCCAAATTTAATCAGTGATTGCACAAAATACACAGGATTTCAAAGCGTTTTTGCATAACGACCTGCGTCTCCCGCGTGGCTTCAATTATTCTGTCGACTCACATCATTGGACAAAAATAAAAGGAAAAAAATCATTAATTCGCCACATAACTTGGATTTCGTTTGCTTTCAAATAATTTCTTTGTATATCAGCAATTTCCGACTGTACTAATTCGTGAATAGGGCACTGTTTTTTATTATTTGCGTATGAATAGCGCTTCGTCATCCGTCGACTAAATTGTGTGATTTAAAATCATCAGACGGAAATTTTACTCGGCCAGCGCGTCTCACAACTGCGTTGTCACGTTACGTTATAGTGACGTCACTTTAGGAATTTAGTTCTTCGAGAGACCTTGTGTGTAATACTCTTTCGATTGCTCCATTTCTTAAAATTTACCGCATTTCATACAATTACGGTGAATTGGAAAAATGTCATCCTGAGTTAAAAGTGGGGACAGACCTCTTTCAGCTTCTTTCGCCGAGCGGGGCGTGCTGGGACAGCACGTACGGGAAGGGGAAACTCGCTGCTCTTAAATTGAGAGTTTGAAAACGGGCCACAACACCTAGACTGGCCATAGGGGATGGAAATGGAGTTTCATAACTGTCTCACCGTCTTCACTTAACAGCCTACGCTTCACTTGCGTTCTTATATAAATTTAACCAAAATTTAGATTGACGTTTTGTAAACAAAATCAAGCGACAATAAAGACTGTGGCTCTCCTAAAACTGGCACATGCAAACAACAGATACTGGCTGCAACACTCTGCAAAACACCAACAAAGATTGCGTCCTTCGTTAACCGTTTGAATGGACGCGCAAACCAATCAATTTTTGATTCGTTAATCAAAGGTTTGCTGTACCCATGGCTATCCGCCCGTCGGTCATCCTTTGTGCCAACTTCCGGTTTTTGTTTTGGAAGAAATCGGGTGTAAATATCGGGCCGTAGAATATAACTATAAATAGTGACCCGTATTGTGGGAGGTGTGTCATCAGGCTACAATGTATAACAAACAACCCCTGGTCCGATCACACCTCAACGCACATACTGATTCCCTTCTGACATTGGTGTATTATTTGGTTCCCCATAACATCACCAACCAAATGGCTCTCCACAGAATGGTGGTCTGTTTTCAGTACTGCAAACTGTGGCAAACAGACGTCCCCTCTCTTCGACAAGGCCGTTTGTGTCATAAGGTAAACGTGAATGTTACGATTCATCCAGTTGTGTTTTAACTTAGACTGGGTTCCCACAGATTTAGATCGATCCATCTGGATCGACCTAACTCCCTGGGGGTTCACGCTAAACTGCTGTCAGCTTCTGGGAGCCGAGCGCGCACAAAAGTTAATTACCCCCTTACAGCTTTTAGTAGGCGGGACAGACATTTAAGCCGGTTAAACTGACAACAATCTAGTGAGACTCTCTAGAGGAATAGATCGATCTAAATATCTGTGGGAATGGTCTCTTAAGTACAGAAAAAATCTCTGCGTAAGTAGTACCTGATTAGTAAGACTGCGTTCCAAAAAATCCATCACAACCGCTGGATCGATCTTACTCTGTGGGGCCTCTTGCTTTTAAGTGCTTTCAGTGTAATCAGCTTAATTGTCTGGCACGCCACTTTCAGTAAATAGGGGGTAATTGACTATCGTAGGCCTTTCAGCCGCTTACACTGAATGCAATTTTAGTGAGAATTCCCACACAGTTAGATCGATCCAGCTAGTACGATGGGAACGCTCCCTAAGATCCAATATCAGGTCCAATGTTTTCGCTACTTCAGTTAAACGTTACTGGTTATCACATCGTCTACCTGGATTATTCGTTTGGCAATCAATGGAGAGAGAGAGAGAGAGAGAGAGAGAGCAGTTGCACTAAAGATAAACGTCGTGAATATCTTTTTCAATACAAATAAGAGAGGCAAACGCTACTGCCATGACACTGGCATTCCAGTGTTCCCGACACGGCGGTAGACACACTTGACTTCTCTTTGTTCGCGTCACGACCTCTTAGCCCTCTCACCGAGATGACGAACTGGCACGTGCACTTATGCCATCTTAAACAAAACGCGTTCCGTTTTACGTTCTTCTACATTAGGTTACCGTTTTTAAAATACTTTGATGACGATATCACCCCGATATTTCACAGACGCTGGTGATTTGATATTTCTATTTTCATGATATTTTTCGTGGATCTGACTGGTTGTAGCAGAGAACATATGTTAAAAGAAAAAAGATTTATGTATAAAAACGAAGTGAACTGAAACTGTTCTGAATACAAGCGGCACGAGCACAGTCGGAAAAAGGCCATCCGTTGTGTGGATTGTGCGGCATGTAGATAAAAATATCTTATCTTTTACGTTACGGAATTCTGACTTTTGTAGATACTTCTCATGAGACCTCTTACGTTTTTTCTCTGTTTTGAAAGATCTATAATTCCCCTCTCTCACGTTTTCATGAACTTTGTATTAAAATTTCCTTTTACACGGCAAGTAATCTCAAATTCAAAACGTTTTCATGTCTTAAAAGGCAGCATATTTCTTCTATAGTTTGTTTACAATACTTAGCCCCCCCCCCCCAAAAAAAAAAAAAAAAAAACATACCAACGCACGTAGACTTTTGCTACACTCTCGGGTGGACATTTTCGATTCTTCTGAATACATTATGAATGATTGTTTCAAAGAAGCAAATGAAGCTTTATCTAATGGTTTAGCAAAATTCAGTTAATGGCATTTTTAAATTTATATAAAAATGCATCATAA